AAATCGCCAAGCCAGGGCCGCAAGCCCGGGGCTCCGACCACGGACGCCCCACCAAAGCCCCGAAGCAACGAAGGACCACTCCTAAACCCTACCTTAAGAACCCAAAACCTACCTTTTTTGTAGGGTCCCTATAAATCCCATATTGGGGTTTATAATAAGAACCTACCAAAAAGTGGGTTTTAGGTTCTTAAGGTATACCTTAAATTATAGGGTCCCTAATTAAGGTTTACGGTTTATAGGGTTTAGGGTTTTAGGGTTTAGGGTTTAGGAATATACCTTAAAAGTAAGGTCCTTAATATTCTGATTTAAAGTATATTCCTTAATTAAGGGGTATTGGGTTCTCTGGGAACTTCGGCAGGGCCTTGAGGAGAGGTGCAGGTGATCTTTCGCGTTCAGGGCCTAGGCCTCGGCTGCCCCCTGAAAGCCTTCTTTAGGGTTTAGGGGTTTAGGTGTTTAGGGGTTTAGGGTTCAGAGTTTTGGGGTTTAGGGTTTAGGGTCTAGGTTTAGGGTGCACGCGTCTTCTCATCTGCGGCCAGGACTCCGGGCAAGGTGGAAACTGCCCAGGAAGCCAAGCCCGTCAAGGCAGTGGCACGGCTGCAAGACTACAGTTCAGTGTTTCGGGTTCAGTGTTTGGGGTTTAGGGTTCAGTGTTGAGGGTTTAGGGTTCAGTGTTTAGGGTTCAGTGTTTAGGGTTCAGTGTTTAGGGTTGAGGGTTCGGTGTTTAGGGCTCAGTGTTTAGGGTTTAGGGTTGAGGGTGTAGGGTTCAGTGTTTAGGGTTTAGGGTTTGGGGTTTAGGGTTTAGGGTTTAGTATTGATCTCAAGACAAGGAGGGCATTGCTTCCAAAAGTACGATGCGCTCGACACAGCCTTATCGCCTACCTCGGCAAACCCTGGACCCTGAACCCTTGCCCTAAGCCCTAAAACCCTAAGCCCCAAACCCCAAGCCCCAAACCCCGAACCCCAAACCCCGAGCCCAAAACCCCAAACCCTGAACTCTGAATGCCGAGCCCAAAACCCTAAACCCTGAACTCTAAACCCCGAGCCCAAACCCTCAAACCTGAACTCTAAACCCCGAGCCCAAAACCCTAAACCCTGAACCCTGAACCTAAACCCAAAGCCCAAAACCCAAAAACCCCTGAACTCGAAATGTCATGTTCTGAGGCCAGGGAAGTGAAGGAAGCCAAGGCGGCTTGGCAGCAGCGGAGGGTTTTCTACCAGAGCTGCGACCCCGTGCCCGTCTTAGTTTCCGCAGCGCAGGGGTTGCATACTTTCGTACATCCTTCCTCCCCCTGCTATACTATAACTTGGACCTTCTGGCTTCATAGAGTAAGTGGAGGGTTCTTGTTGGGGTCTCGGTTCTAGGCGGGTGGTCGCAGATCGGGGCCTGAGTAGAAGAGGTACGGGTTTAGGGTTTCAGGCTTTGAAGGTTTAGGGTTTAGGGTTTCAGGGTTTAGGGTTTAGGGTTGATGTTCCTTTGAGGGTTCCTGATTGGGTCGCTGTAAGGGTTGAGGGTTTAGGGAGGGCCTTATTAGATGTTCCTTTGAGGGTTCTTGTTTGGGATGCTATACGGCTTTCGTAGAGGGGACGTCATGTTTAGTGTAGGGCTTTGGGGGTGTATTTTGCTAGAATCAGGGCTCTACAAAACTTAATTGACATCAATACTGCTGATGATATAAATCCGCATTACTTTAAGGTATTATATGGTATATTGACTCTTATGGGCAATGCAGGATTCATATCATCAGCCGTAGCGATCGAGGCTAAACCCTAAACCCTAAACCGGGGAACCCTGGAGAGCTCAGACCAAAACCCCAGGCATCCACCAACTTCCGAGGTAAAGCCCGCACCAAGGAGCTCCTGTTTAGGGTTTAGGGCTTAGTAGGGTTTAGGGTTTAGGGTTTAGGGTTTAGGGTTTAGGGCTTAGGGGAAACACCCAAATCCTAAACCTCCAGCAAAAATAGAGCAGGCACAAGCCATCTCAAACCCTAAACCCCCCAGCACTCAAATAACAAGCAGAGCAAAGACCAACAATCCCAAACCCTAAACCCCGCAACACTCAAATGGGGTTTTCCGAAAAATAGGGGACCCTAATATAGTACCTTAAAGAGTAGGACCCTTATTATAAGGACCCCAAAATAAGGTGCCCCTTATTTTCGGAAACTCCCAAATCCCAATCCGAAATTACTCGATCCTAGCTTTACCAGATGCATCCAAGCAGAGGTGCAGCAGCAGGAGGAGGAAGAGCCGGAGGCCAAAGAGAGCGCTAAAGAGGCGCAGCTTGCTATTGCTTGTTAAAGGAAACTACAGGTGGGGAGTTTAGGGTATATAGGGCTTCACCTATATCTATATATATAGGGCTTCTAGAAGGCTTGTATAAGGTATACAGACCTTCTATAAGAGCTTGGGGTGCTAAAGTTCTGGCTTGTTTGGGGTTGTGGCAGTGCAGGGTTCAGGAGTACAAGACCCCTAAAGGGGGGTTCTACGGGGGGTTACCTGTCTTGGGGTTCTAGGATGTACGGCTAGCGAAGTGCTTTTGGCGCTGAGTTCCGAAAGTGGCTGGAAGCCCTAAACCCTAAACCCTAAACCCTAAACCCTAAACCCTAAACCGTGGTCTTCGACCTAAACCGTTTCGGTCATGGTTCCCTACAAGCCATGGGTTCCCCGCCCTCCAAAAAACTCCGAAAAAAAGACGCCATCCCTAAATAGCCCGAAGCTTTCTCTAAAGAAACCTCCCCGAAAATCCCCCGACGAAATCTCCGAAAAGAAACCCCGCAAGATCTGCAGAAACCTTTGGGGTTTAGGGTTTAGGGTCTAGGCTTTAGGGTCTAGGGTTTAGGGTTTAGGGTTTAAGGTTCAGGGTTTAGGGTTTAGGGTTTAGGTGTAGGGTTTAGGGTTCAGGGTTGGGTTTTTTTCAGAAACTCAACAGTCCCATTTGCTTCCCCATCTGTCCTTTTTGCACCCAAACAGCACCCCAAACAAGAACTGTTGGGGGTGGGACGTCCCCACCTCTGTTATGAGTTTTTGAAAAATGCGCCAGGAGCCTGTCTGCGGCTCTGCCGAGGTCTCGGGTTTGGGGGGTTTGGGGGGTTGAAGGGTTTAGGGCTTAGGGGTGCAGGTTGAAGTTAAGGAGTGAGGGTTTAGGGTTCAGGAATTAGGGGTTTACTGCTTGCATTTCAGCCAGGATTGTCTTGCTTCGGAGGGAAATAGACAAGGGCCCTAACTGCTTGAGTCCCTTCAAGGAAATCGCGTGAAGAAGGTCCTCGAAACAAGGTGTCTTGCAGCTTTGGGTTTGCCGCGACCCCGAACCCTAAACCCTAAACCCTAAACCCTAAACCCTAAACCCTAAACCCTAAACCCTAAACCCTAAACCCTAAACCCTAAACCGTTGTGAGGGCGGGTTCGAAATTTGGATCAAGACCTGGAGTCGTTCAGACCTGGGGTTATGGCTTTGGGGGTGTAGGGTTTAGGGTTTAGGGTTGAGGGGTTCAGGATTTA